GTTGGACCAAAACTGGAAACTGGCAAAGTAGAGAGATCAAAGGTCAAGGGCTTTGGGGATTTGAGGGAGTTGGTGAGAACATCGTTGGAATATTGGCCATGGATTCCAAGGCATATATGGAGGTGAGAGAAGTCTGGTGACTGGGCAAACTGAGAAATGGGTGGTGGAGGTGGTCAGGGGATCAGTGAGCAGGTACAGTGGGAGAAGGGGAAGAAAAAAGCTCTAGTCAAAAAAGGAATTCTGGAGTTGATTATTCTGAAAAAAAAAAAAAGGAAGAATGAGTACATTGAGTAATTACGAGTTTTCTCAGAACAGGAGCTACTTTTTTACCTTTTTAAGCAATCGTTTGATCTTCTGTTTTCTGTATAGTTTAGTACATACCAGACTCTCAATCTGTGGGTGTATGAGGAGACTCAATTTATAGGCCCTGCAGGTACACACTTTTATTCTGGTTACTTGTGTTCCTCAAGTGGTACAATGAGAACACCATATTCTTATGCTGTGTTCATTTCTTACAATCATTGATTCCTTCATTCATTGCCACACGGGCTTCTCCCTTCTTCCTAAGAAACTTGGGCCAATGCAAATCAGGCACCTGAATTCGAAGTAGAAAAACTTGCCTGATGTTGTCCAGAAACATGACAGGATTAAGACTCAGAACACCTCATTGGCATAATAAGTAGGTTTCACTAGATGTTCCCCCCAAATTCTTCCTGATTTCTGACACTAAGCTTTCATACTTGCTCATTTTAAATGTCTCTGCAGGATGTCTACTTTTTGAATTTGCCCTTGCAGTTTCTGCTATTCCAGTCCACCTTTCCCTTTAACTACTGAGTAGCTTCCTCCCTCATTGTACCTATAGTTTTGCATAACACATACAGATTAATCTTCTAGATATCCCCCCATAGCCATGACACTCTCTGCTAAGTTGTGGATTTCTTGCACTCAAGGTGGTGGTGAGGGAGACAGGGGAGTGTTGTCCTGGTAATAACAACTCTGGAAAAGTTGATGTTCCTGACAATGGCACTGGTAGCTCAGATATTAGAGAATATCGGTATCCTTTAAGCATAGATACAGACATCTCCAATATCTCACCTGGGCATTGGTAGCTCATAAAACATAAAGAAGTATGATGTTCATGAATAAACTGAAAAAGGACACATCAGCCCAGTGAGATAAAATAGAGAGGAGTTTTGAATGGATTTTAATTTTTAAAATTTTTGATTTTTAGAAAGAGAGGAAGGAAGAGGGAGAGAGAGAGAGCAACATAGATGCAAGAGTGAAACATTGATTGGCTGCCTCCAGCACATCCCCAACTGGGGGTCGAGTCCCCAACCCAGGCATATGCCCTGACTGAGAATCAAACCAGCAACTCTTAGTGCATGGGATGACATCCAACCACCTGAGCCACCCAGCCACGGCTAAAATATAGTCCTGAAAAAAACAAATATTACAGTCATCGAGATGACTGGAGTTGTCAACTGGAAGTGACAGTTCTCAAAATAATTGGGGAAGAATATGCGGGGGCTGAGGTCATTTAAAGCAGAGAGTGAAGGATCGAGAGGAATGCCATGTGCTGACAGTATTGCCATCTATGTTTATGGGTGCTGATTATGAAGAGGGCCAATGAGGCTGGTAAGTGAGCATAGCTTGTGCGTGTTAGAGCTTATTCCCATGTAGGGAGTTGTGTCCATATGCATGGCAGTGGAAGGACCTGAATTTAAGAGAGACAATCACTGAGGCACCAGGCAGAGAGGATGGGGTGTCCCTGCCTCCTAGGTTGATGGAGGCACAGAAGCAGTGGGGGTGATCCTGTGAGATGATTTCCAAAGGCTCTCACTAGATGGCGGTGTCGGTCAGCACATGAGTCTGTAAAGGTTTCTCAGAGAACCGAGCACGGGCTGAATAAGAAATGTCATTTCACAGATGAGAAGACTGAGGAGGATCAATGAGGCCCGGCAACGTGGCCCAAGGTCACTACTGACTAGCCCCGTCCCATTATCTATGCCTCAGACTTCTAGGGACCAGCAATGACCTTAGGTTCTGCTTCAAGAACTGTTGAGCTTATTTTTTTGCCCTAACTTGTTTGGCTCAGTGGATGGAGCGTTAGCCTGCAGACTGAAGGGTCCCAGGTTCGATTCCAGTCAAGGGCATGTACCTTGGTTGTGGGCACATCCCCAGTAGGGGGTGTGCAGGAGGCAGCTGATTGATGTTTCTCTCTCATCAATGTTTCTAACTCTCTATCCCTCTCCCTTCCTCTCTGTAAAAAACCAATAAAATATATTTTTTTAAAAAAAGAACTGTTGAGCTTATTTTTAACCTCTAATCTCTCTTCTTTACCACCTAACATACAGTGCCAACCTGAATCAAATCAGATTTGAATCTAGAGTAGCGGTTCTCAACCTGTGGGTCGCGACCCTTTTTGGGGTCGAACAACCCTTTCACAGGGGTCGCCTAAGACCATCGGAAAACACATATATAATTACATATTGTTTTTGTGATTAATCCCTATGCTTTAATTATGTTCCATTTGTAACAATGAAAATACATCCTGCACATCAGATATTTACATTATGATTCATAACAGTAGTAAAATTACATTTATGAAGTAGCAACAAAAATAATTTTATGGTTGGGGGTCACCACAACATGAGGAACTGTATTAAAGGGTCGCGGCATTAGGAAGGTTGAGAACCACTGATCTAGAGGTCAGGGTTCGTCGATGGCAACTGCACTGTGGCTCCCCATGCCTGTGGGATAAAGTTCAAGTGCTATAGCATGGCTTACAAGGTAGTCTGCATGCTGCAGGATTTCCTTTCACTATAGTTCTATGTTCTTTGAAGCTGCTTAAACTGTGCATGGTGCTTTTTGTGTTCCGGAACCTATGACTTCAACAGCCCCTGATCTGCTTTAGAGGGAAGCATCCTCCAATTTCTTTAGGGGATTTGACCCTTTTGGCCACTACCTTACCTAATCTATAATGTTAAAGATGCAGGTTGGAGGTGGTATGATGGTCAGGGACCCAACATTGCCTACACATCCCCCCGTAACAATCCCCTACTTAAACCAGTCAGGACTTTCTTGGGTGAGACACAAATCCAATTACCCTAGACCAGTGGTTGGCAAACTGCGGCTCACGAGCCACATGTGGCTCTTTGGCCCCTTGAGTGTGGCTCTTCCTAAGCCTTAGGAGTACCCTAATTAAGTTAATAACAATGTACCTACCTATATAGTTTAAGTTTAAAAAATTTGGCTCTCAAAAGAAATTTCAATCGTTGTACTGTTGATATTTGGCTCTGTTGACTAATGAGTTTGCCAACTTCTGCCCTAGACAAAAAGTAAATGTTACTGATTTCAGGAAGGGCATAGGTATAGCTGGGCAAGATTGGAAGCAGGATGACATGATTTCTCTGGAATGTCCTTGCTGCTTTTCTCCATTGCTTTAAGTGTCAAATTCATTCTCTCCTATGGAAGACTGACTTTCTCCCACTGGTGGAGGGCATGGCTCCTAACTGCTTTATGCTCATCTCTTGCAAACATCACTACCAGAAAGGAAAAAGCTCTTCTCAATAAAGATTCAGTTACACAACAATAAGGAATGACACTTTCAGAAGATGGACATATGACTAATGCAGGGCCAATGATTACTGTTGTCAAGGGATCAGGTGCCTTGATTGGTCTCTTTTGGGTCACCTGTGCAACCATAGCCTATAATTGACAGCCTCCCACTCAAACTGCATGATTGGAGTAGGGAAGGAGAATTTTTCAAAAGGAAAGTACTCTTACCAAAGGAAAATGATAGTTGGAGAGGAAAACAGTGCTGGACAAGCAATACTGAATGTCCGTTTCCCAGCCCCCCAGTACACAAAGGACACATTGACAAGAAATGAAAGCAGAATTACACTTAAGTGTGTGTATTACTCACCAGGTTAATGACATGTAGCTCTCAACACAGAGCTCCTAATTATGCATAAGACTTGAGTTAAACCTTGGATCTGAGGCTTATGCAGGGTTGCTACCTACCTCCCAAACTCAAAAGTCAGATCAGTAACCAACATGTTTAGGAAAAGAGAGAGCAGAGCTTCAAATGCAAGGAGAAAGAAATTTGTGAAGTCGCCCACACAATACGGACTGGGAAGCTTTCTCTCATTCTAACTGACAGAATCAATACCCTGAGTCAGGAAGCCCCCGGGAGGCTTAGCTCTGCCCCAACTAGTAAATGAGACCCGATCCATATCGCAGCAATCTGGCTGGCCAGCAGGTCCTCTCTGGGTGGTGAGTGGGAGTCAGGAAGGGGCGGGTTGATTGGTGAAAGTGCTTTCTCCTTTACGTTTACCCCTTTGTGATGTGGTGGCCAGTGGGCTCAAGATTATGGTCCTGAGCTGGATGGTGAGGGCTTTGGGGGCAGGGCCCCTGCCCCAGCTTCCTGTGACTGCCACTGTGACAGCACAATGCCTGCCTGCAGAGGCGGGCACTCAGGAAATATCATTGGACAGAAGGATTCAGAGCAAACTGCTACCCAGAATGTCAGCTGCCAAGGGGTTCCGGTGGAACTGAGGGGCACAGAGTTGGTGCCTGGGAGCTGGCCTATCTGGCCACTCTCTCCAGTGGGCAGGAAGCTCACTGGGGCCCACTTGGTGGGCAACCCCTTCTGCCAACTGGGGCACCTCAGCTCAGCCCAGAGTAGAGGTGTCAGGAAATATCTCTCTGCCCAAGCTTCCTCTCCCAAACTTAGAGGCCCAGCATAGGGCCTAGAATTCACTGAGGCTGAGTGGCTGTTTGTTCAACAATCAATCAATCAGCATGGATCACCGAAGCCGATCTCGCAGCAGAGGCCTGAGCCGAATTCCTGGGACTCAGACCCGAACTCCCAGTGCCCCACTCCCCTTGCACGTGGAACAGGAGGCCAGGGAAGGAGAAGAATGGGAGCAGGGAGAGCTTGCTCGTCAGAGGACTGCTATCAACCTGCCCGTGGAAAGTGGAGAGCTGGCAGACAATGTTATGGTTTCCAAGCCAGCACCTTATTGGGAAGGAACCGCTGTGATAAATGGAGACTTTAAGGAGCTCAAGTTAACTGATTATCGTGGAAAATACCTGGTTTTCTTCTTCTACCCACTTGATTTCACTTTTGTGTGTCCAACTGAAATTATCGCCTTCAGTGATAGAATTGAAGAATTCAGATCCATAAACACGGAAGTGGTGGCATGCTCTGTCGATTCACAGTTCGCCCACTTGGCCTGGATTAACACCCCTAGAAGGCAAGGAGGACTTGGGCCAATAAAGATTCCACTTCTTTCAGATTTGACCCATCAGATCGCAAAGGACTATGGCGTGTATCTGGAAGACTCGGGCCACAGTCTTAGAGGTCTCTTCATTATCGATGACAAGGGGATCCTAAGACAGATGACTCTGAATGACCTTCCTGTGGGTAGATCGGTGGATGAGACACTGCGTTTGGTCCAAGCATTCCAGTACACCGCTAAACATGGAGAAGTCTGCCCTGCTGGCTGGAAACCTGGTAGTGAAACAATAATTCCGGATCCAGCTGGAAAACTGAAGTATTTTGACAAACTGAACTGAAAATACTTCCTCAGGCTATGATGCTTGAATGCTTTCAATAAAGGTCAATTAAAAAAAAAAGTTTAAGGTCTTTACTCAAATTTATGGCCAACCAAGAAGGACATAACCCCCTTCAGTGAAGGAGACCATCAATCATCAAGGGAAACCCTTGAGGCTATCCCCTAACATTTACCAGTAATTTTTATAAATTCCTGGGACCAGAGAAATGGGTAGTTCCACTGCTGACTCTAGAAACTTCTAAAATGGACAGAAGAAGACATTTAGTTCAAGGTCACAGGCTTACCAAATATTGACCCCCTATTTTATTTCTCAACCTAAATATTTCCTAGTCTTATAGAAAAACTAGAGGCCCAGTGCATGAAATCTGTGCAGTTGTCAGGGGTGGGGGGTGGGGGTGGGAGGGAGAGGTTCTCAGCTCAGCCTGTGTCCTCTCGCAGTCCGGGAGCCCTTGGGGAATGTCTGGCAGTTGGACATCCTTAGTGCTGCTGCGGAGGCAGGAGAGGCCCCCACCACCGCCACCGCACTTGCCAGCCATGAGCCCAGCTTCTGGCTGAGCGGCACTCCCCCTGTGGGAGCACACTGACCACCAGGGGGCAGCTCCTGCATTGAGTGGGATCGGGCTAAAACTGGCTCTCTAACATCCCTCGAGGGGTCCCAGATTGCAAGAGGGCACAGGCCAGGTCGAGGGACCCCACCGGTGCACACTCGGGGTCAGGGAGGGATGCAGGAGGTTGGCCCACCAGGGAGGGACCACGGGAGGGCTCCAGGGCATGTCCAGCCCATCTCGCTCAGTCCCAATTGGCCGGACCCCAGCAGCAAGCTAACCTACCAGTCAGAGCATCTGCCCCCTGGTGATCAGTGCACATCATAGTGAGCGGTTGAGCACCTTACCATATCATTAGCATATAACACTTTGATTGATTGACCGGATGACTTGATGACCTGATGACCGGACACTTTATTATATAGGACTAGAGGCCCGGTGCACAAAAATTTGTGCACTCGGGGGGGGGTGGGGAGGGGGTTCCCCCAGCCTGGCCTGTGGCCTCTCGCAGTCTGGGACCCCTCGGGAGATAATGACCTGCTGGCTTAGGCCTGCTCCCGGGTGGCAGAGGGCATGTCCAATCCCTAGGTGCAGCCCCTGGTCAGGCTCAGAGCAGGGCCGATTGGGGAGTTTGGGTGCCGCCCCGTCATGCACAGAGCAGGGTGGATCGGGAGGTTGCGATGCCACCCTCAGTCACGCTCAGGGTAGGGCCGATTGGGGGGTTGGGGCACCGCCCCTGTCACACTCAAGGCAGGGTCGATGGGGAGGTTGCAGCGCCACCCCCTGTCACGCACAGAGCAGGGCCGATAAGGGGGTGGGGGTGCTGCCCCCTGTCACTCACAGAGCAGGGCCCATCAGGGGGTTGGGACGCTGCCCCCTGTCACTCACAGAGCAGGGCCCATTAGGGGGGTTGGGGCTCCGTACCCTGTTACACACAGAGCAGGGTCAATCAGGGGGTTGGGGAGCTCCCCCCTGTCACGCACAGAGCAGGGCCCATCAGGGGGTTGAGGAGCTCCCCCCTGTCACTCACAGAGTAGGGCCGATAGGGGAGTTGGGGCATCGCCCCCTGTCACACACACAGCAGGGTGGATCAGGGGGTTGGGGCGCTGCACCCTGTCACACTCAGGGCAGGGTCAATGGGGAGGTTATGGCTCTACCCTGTCACACACAGAGCAAGGCCCGTGGAGGGGGGTTGGGGCGCCACCCTCTATCACCCACAGAGCAGGGCTGATCAGGGGGTTGGGGCGCCGCCACTGTCACACTCGGGGCAGGGCCGATGGAGAGGTTATGGCTCTACCCCGTCACACACAGAGCAGGGCACGTGGGGGGGGGCAGGGGTTGGGGCGCTGCACCCTGTCACACACAGAGCAGGGCCGATCAGGGGGTTGGCGTGCTGCACTCTGTCACACACAGAGCCGCAGGGCAATCAGGGGATTGGGGAGCTCCCCCCTATCAGGCACAGAGCAGGGCTGATCAGGGGGTTGGGGCGCCTTCCCCTGTCATGAACAGAGCAGGGCGGATGGGGAGGTTGTGGCCCCGCCCCCTGTCACACACAGGAGCCACAGGGTGATCAGGGGGTTTGGGCGCTGCCCCCTGTCACGCTGATCCGGGTGCCGGGAGCCTCGCTGCTCCACTGATCCCGGTGCTGGGAGGCATATTACCCTTTTACTATTAGAATAGAGGCCTGGTGCACAGGTGGGGGCCGGCTGGTTTGCCCTGAAGGGTGTCCTGGATCAGGGTGGGGGTCCCCACTGGGGTGCCTGGCCAGGCTGGCTGAGGGGCTGAGGGCTGTTTTCCGGCTGGTGAGTGACTGAAGCTCCCAACCGCTCCTTGTTTTCTTTTTTTTTCTTTTTTTTTTTATTCTGGGCCAGCTTTAGCTCTGAGGCCTCGCTGCTGAAAACATCGATACAATGTTGCGGTCCGGCTGGCTTTCAGTCCGGCTGGTTTCTGGGGTTTTGTTTAGCTTCTTATTTGCAACATAGTACATAGTTGCTTAGAGTTGCAGCTGAGAGGCCAGCAAGTTAGGCGGGGAACGTTGGAGTCCGCAGTCACTGAAGCAAGCAAGCCTCCCTGCTAGCTTCAGTGCATGGCTGCCGGCCGCCATCTTGGCTGACAGTTAATTTGCATAAGGATATGCTGATTAGCCAATGGGAAGGGTAGCGGTCGTACGCTAATTACCATGTTTCTCTTTTATTAGTGTAGATGTTGTTCACCAGAGCATTATACAAGTGAGTAGCATATGTATAATACATACGATATAAAAAATGTCCCAAATTGAAACCATATGAATCTCCCTTATTAAATTCTCTCAGAGATATTTAAGTTCTAGTACAAACTCTTTCTTGGTTATCATGGAGAAAATAAAATCTCTCTTCCCTTGGGGAAATTAAAGTCCTAGAGAAATTGGAGATCAGAAGTCTCATTGTAATTTTCTCATTCTGCCCAGTCCTAGCTAGAGACAGCCTGACTGTGCTGATGTGTTTACTTCCCTGAGCACCCCTCCCTCTCCCCCTCACCTTTCTCAGATCCTTGCCCTTCTCTCTGCCCTGGGAGGCTGGTCCCTGGGAACCGTATTATTGGCACTCCCTCACTAATTGGTTTCTTGTCCTATTCAGCCAATGAGAGCCATTAATAGGAGATTGGCAGGTTGAAAATATTTCTTCCCGCTTCCTCCCTGCTTTGGGACACATTTCTGGCAGTGACTGTGTACTTGAATAACTACAGATTTTGTCTAGTAGCCCTTTCTCCCAGTTCTAGCTCTCACTGCACTAAGATAGCACTTTTTCCTTTTTGTTTTATCTTCTTATTAGTTAAGGGTATTACCAGGTTTCTGCTGTTCCCAGGACAACAGAAACCTGGTAATATCCTTATTACCAGGGAATCTGCAACAACCCTGCTGATTCCCTTAATCCTCTTCCTTTGAACCATCAGAGTTGCATCCTGTTTCCTGCTGTGACCTTGACTTCACACTGAAATACCTGGCACCAGGCAGCCTGGGTAAAGTGGTCCCTCTCCAACAGCAGCAATCGCGAAGTCTTCCACCAGAGTGCATAGAATCATTTCTGCACCTGCACTGCTGAAATCATTCCAACTTCGAGTCTCATCTGTTCCACTTTTCCAAAGTTCCAAAGGGTAGGAGGACATATGGAAGTCATAGCACCAAGCCTAGACTCATACCATTTAGTTACAACAATAGCATTTTCTAAACAGGAGTGATGTTTCCAGACACAGTGCTATTACAGTCTCCAGCCCCACATTGCTGCTGCCAGCTGTCGACACTAACACAGAGGAAGTGCTATCTGGGGGGATTAAGGTAGACAAGAAAGCAAAAGAGAAGAGAAAATCTGCATTTCAGCTCCACTGGGATGCCAGTGGGGATCACCAATAATGCTATCCATCAAATGCCCATCTTCCCCATCCCAGGTACAGAAAAGGACTCTATTTCCTGCTCTCTTGTGGTTGGGTGGGGTCTTATTGCATAATTCAGCTAGAGAATTGTGAGTAGCAATGATGGGAAATGTGTGTCTATTTGTGGGTGAACATTTAACACCCGGTGCCTGACTCTCCAGAGCCCTCTTTCCTTCTGCTAAATGGTGGACCATTTACCAGCCAGGGCCCTTGAGTGACTTTGATGAGCAGAGCACTTAGTTTAATCCGTTATGAACATGAAGTCTGAAAGAAAAATCCTTGAGCCACCAAAACATGGAGATTGTGTATTATAAATCACACGATAAACATTTGTGATGAAAATATTTTTAACATCGTAGAAGCCCAATGAACACAGTGATCTTTACCACTTGCTTCCTTCCTAAGCCCTGCAGAAGCCCAACTTAAACTACAAAACCTGTGCCTAACGCAGGCTTCAAAACCTAGTGAAACGCATTGGGACCTCCCCACTCTCTAAAATGTTGTTCTTTGGGTCCCCCAGGGCTTGGTTGATTTTATTACCCCAAAGGCAGCACCCAAATCCCTTTCCTCCACCAGTTTTTCTGCAGCATCAGCTCCCATGAAGAAGAAAAGAAAAAATCCTGAGCAGCATTTAAGAATAAGTTTTTGAGATGAGAGAGGAGGAGTTGTGATAGCAAAAGCTCTTCTACCCAAAGATTAAAGGGCTCCTTTTAAAATTGCATTTGCTCTGGCCCAGGCGAGAGCCCTGCCCTCAATATTTGGAGTGAGGTTACCCAGCTGAGACTTATTATATGGGCAGCCACTTCCACAATCTAATGTTAATGTCCCAAAAGGTATTTCTAATGCAGGCCAAGAAAAAAATCTAAACTTATTTTAAAACCCCAAACCAATGATACACAAGAGAGCTCAACCTTCTATTACAGTGCTTGGCTCCCAAATTCTGTGAATGTACTCACTTGATCTACCCTGACTACCCAAGTGTTATAAGTAGAAGGGGAGGAGTTTAATAGCATTTGATGGTATTTCCATGGGACTCCAGAATGTCAGTCAGCCCTCCAGTTCACAGTGCCTTAGAGAAGCAAGGGAACA